TATTGGCATTCCTTTCCTCATGCGCTGTCATAGTGTGAGGAGAAGAGAGCCAGTAACCGGCAAGTGAGACGGGGCATTTACACAGATAATCAGGGCACTGATCATCAGTGCCAATCAGTCCCGCCTATCAGTGCCCATCTGTGCTGCCTATCAGTGCTCATAAGTGCCATATGTGCTGCCTATCAGTGCTGCCTATCAGTGCTCATAAGTGCCCATATGTGCTGCCCATCAGTGCTGCCTATCAGTGCCCATCAGTGCAGTCTCAGTGTCAATCAGTGCCACCTCATCAGTGCCCATCAGTGCTGCCAATCAGTAGAGTTTCATCAGTGACTATCAGTGCTGCCAATCAGTGCCCATTGGTGCTGCCTATCAGTACCCATAAGTGCAACCTCATCAGTGCCCATCAGTGCAGTCTCATCAGTGCCCATCAGTGCTGCCAATCAGTGCCCATCAGTGCTGACTATCAGTACCCATCAGTGCAACCTCATCAGTGCCCATCAGTGCAGCCTATCAGTGTCCATCAGTGCAGCCGATCAGTGAAGGAGAAAAGTTACTTGTTTGCAAAATGTTATAGCAGAAAACAAGAAAAGCGTTTTTTTTACCCCAAAAATTTTCTTCCTTTTTTTGTTTGTTTAGAAAAAAAAATTAAAAACCCAGTGGTGAATACCACCAAAAGAAAGCTCTGTCTCAAAAAAATTAAATTTGGGTACTGTGCTGCACGACAACACAACACTGTGCGACAGCCCTGAAAGCTAAAAAATTGGCCTGGGCAGGAAGGGGGTGAAAGCACCCATACTGAAGTGGGTAAAATAGAAATGAAGGGCAAAATATTTGTGTATAGCTATAAAGACTTTATAAATACCCCTTTGTCCCCTTTTTTATAAGTGATCACATATCCTCTGTTCTCAGCTGCCTAAGGATCTTAGAAAGCTAAAGGAGAAGAAAAGAAGCTACACGCTGATCTTCCCGGTGAATGGCTGTGCAGAGGGGAGAGCTTATTAGCAGAAGTCTGATTATTGTAGGAGAGCAGGCTGAGTTTTCAGCACAGCTAGATGACTGACCATGCTGTGCTCTCATTATTAGTGTGGTCAGCTTTTAAAAGGAAAGCAGAGGGACTAGCAGAAAAACAGGGATTTCATGCAAAGAAGCAATACAAAGAGGACAGGATACTTTTGAATACAAATACATGGTACAACAGGCACATATCAGGAATATGAAATGTTGGGTTTACATATTCTTTAAATATTCCCCAAATGAAGCTTTAAAGAATTATCCACATAAGAACATCTACCAATAACAGGCTTTCTTCAGTGGAGGTGTTGCCTATACTAACCCATCATAGTTTAGCTACTTAAAGCAAAACTCTGAAGATCTTTGCCCCAGTTCTATTTCATTTTCTTTATTGAATGTTTACAACTTGGTAAACTGATATTATGTATTATTTTTTTTCCAATACTTTATTTAGAGTAGAAAACTATTTTATAAATTAAAACTTAAAATAGCATTGATTGAGAGCATGCTTGACTTTCTAATAAAAAGCCCAGCACTGTCTTCTTAGTAACTGACCACTTCTTTCTCATAATCCATATGGTTTAACTAGCAGACAGGGATTTAGCTCTGCCATTCCACTAACTAATCCAACATGTGTATTGTGAATTGATCCTAATATCAGGACATCTAATCTACTGACAGTATAGTAATTGGTGACTGTGGAAAACCTGTAGCGTGCCACCCACTGGATGCAAGTGGTAAATATGGATTTTTTTTTTTTTTGCAATATTTCACATTTACTTGACTAAAGACAAGTGAAAAACTGGAACCAATTTATTTTTGTTAGTCCTGAACATATTGATTAGAATTTTGGGACTAGCACACTAAAGTGATTTATGGCATCAAGTTTGCTGTTTATAGAATAGATGCAGCTTGATGTGCACCACTATTCATCCAATTTACCTCTGCCATTCCACTAAGTAATCCAACATGTGTATTGTGAATTGATCTTAATATCAGGAAATTTAATCTACTGCCAGTATAGAAATTGGTGACTGTGGAAAATCATAGCCTGCAGCATGCCACCCACTGGATGCAAGTGGTAATAATGGATTTTTTTTCTTTGCAATGTTTCACATTTACTTGACTAAAAAGACTATTGAAAAATTGGAACCAATTTATTTTTGTTAGTCCTGAACATATTGATTAGAATTTTGGGATTAGCACACTAAAGTGATTTCTGGCATCAAGTTTGCTGTTTATAGAATAGACACAGCTTGATGTGCACCACTATTCATCCAATCTGCATACTGCGTTATCAAAGACGCCAAAACTCAAGGGAAGGTACAGAAACCATGGCAACTACAGTGAAGGGTTTGCGAAACAACGGTAAAAACTGTTTCTCAGCTCTTGTTCTTAAATACTGCCAACAGGTGATGTTTTAATGATTTTCGGCTGTGCAGGTGATCGAAGTCTCAGATATGATCTGTTCGGTTTCCCAATCTGCATGACAGTCAAGGAAAAAGTATTTTCATGCCCACAACTCCCTGGTGCCTTGGGGGGTGATCCAGCCGAGGGATGAACCTCCACAGGGGGACCCTTCATGAACACTTCTCTGAGGAACTGCATGTTGTAGGCGTAGGAATGTTCTTCCTTGTGCTATACTGCAAAAAACATTTGAATATTTCCCTAGGGTCAGTGGTTTGTTTCTTTTATTTTTTATTTAATTATGCCTGCACAGTGTAAAGTGAAACTAATCTGCATTGTTAAGCTTCTGATTTTACTCATCTCTCTCCTTAGCTCTGCTTTATTGTCAAAAAAATGAGGCTTGTCCATTATTGTAGTGACATAAACGTCTGCCTGTAACATTATTTTGTACATGGACATAAAAATTGGAGTTAAAAAAATGATGACCTGTTCAGGGTTCTTGAGGCTTAGAGCTTACACAGTTATGGTGAGAGAGGTAGGACGAATGGAACCGAGAGACCATCTGCTGGAAAGGCTGAAAAAAGAGATTTGTAAGGGCGAAAGAACAAACTTTGCATGGCGTAATCCATTATCCCCAGAGAAGGACAGTCACTTGATGGGTGAAGGGAGTACGGTCTGCTCACTTCATTTTCACACTGTAAGGGAATTATCACGTAGCTTAGAAAATAAGTTGAAGCCTTGCTGACGTCAACCTTGCAATCATGTACAAGCAAAAAAAAAACAAACTTCTTTTCTTTTTTAATTTCCTTGCTTTCGATTTTGACCTTTCGCAAAGTACATTTTTACCATTTTTATTAGCAGAAGTTAAAAGTCACGTGTGAAGTGAAAATTCATTTTATAATGCAAACATGCTCTACTCCTTTAGTGAATGAACCTCACTGTCACCTGGGACAAAATGATAGTGCCAGGGGCTGACTGACAACTCATGGGGTCCCCGGGCAATAGGGGATCATGGGGCCCGTGTCCTTGCCCAAACTCAAAAAAGCCTATGAAAAAGGTACCAGGGGGATCTCATGGGGCCCCCTACTGACTCAGAACCCTCGGACAGTGCCTGAGTTTCCAAATGCTCAGTCCACCCCTGGATAGTGCCTTATCAAAGCTTACTCCCCATCCTTCCCAGTAGGATATATCCACCCAACCAAGCTCTCTTGTGGTCTCTTCGCTGCTTGAGTCTGTTCTGAGTAAGCTCTGGTGTTGAATGGTGTCAGAGCTTATCCAGGTGGATGATGTCACCGCCTTCCCCCAAATGACATGTTATGGCCTTGTGATTGGCTTCTCACAAGTGAGCCCTGTCACGTGGAAAAGGGCGCATACTCCCCAATAGACATGTGCAGAGTGAAAAAATGTGTTTAGTGTCAGATCGATTTGTTAAGTTACTTTTGTTTTGTTGCATTCATAACAAAATTTGTTAATTCATTTTCAACCGGATTCACATTTTTCAAATGGATTTAAGGTATTCAAACTGAATTCTAATTGCAAATATCAAATCGATCTAAATTCATTGTGAAGAATAGCTGGTTCTATTCTATTTGAAATTTGAATTTCAGAAGACAGTTATGTTCTATTTTATTCTGTTCTATCCTATTCTAATCTATTATAGTTTTTGCTATTCTATTATTTTATTTTCTATTCTTTTCTATTCTATTTCTTTTTCAATTTTATTTTCTATTCAATTCTATTCTGTTTTATTCTTATATTTATTTTATTTTATTCTATTCTAATTTCGGAAGATGGCTATATTCTTTCTATTCTATTCTAATCTATTTTTTTGGATTCTATTTGGTTTTCTATTCTATTCTGTCCTGTTTTACTCTATTCTTTTTTATGTTCAGTTCTATTCTTTTTTATTCCTTTATTTTCTATTCTATTCTTTTATTTTCTATTCAATTCTATTCTGTTTTACTCTTTTCTATTCTATTTTATTCTATTCTATTTTTGCATTTTGGAAGATGGCTATATTCTCTCTCTTCTATTCTAATCTATTTTTTTGTATTCTATTCTGTTTTTTATTATTTTCTATTCTGCCCTGTTTTACTCTATTATTTTATGTTCTGTTCTTATTTTCTATTATTTTATTTTCTATTCTAGTCTTTTATATTCTATTCAATTCTATTTCACTTTTTAGTATTCTGTTTTATTCTATTTTCAAATTTTGGAAGATGGATATATTCTATTCTAATCTTGTTTTTTTTTTATTCTATTTTCTATTTTTTTCTATTCTATTCTGTCCTGTTTTACTCTATTCTTTTATGTTCTGTTCTATTCTTTTCTATTCCTTTATTTTTTATTCTAGTCTTTTATTTTCTATTCTGTTTTATTCTATTCTTTTTGAAATTCGAATTTTGGAAGACAGCTTCTATTTTATTCGAATATATTCAAATGTATTCTATTTTTTTAATATCCTATTGCTTTTTCTATTCTATTCTTTTATTTTCTATTCTTTTATATTTTGCTCTGTTTCTTTTCAAAATTCGAATTTCAGAAGATGGCTATATTCTAATATTAATAGTTTTTGAAGGAAATCAGCAATATTCAGCAATATGTTTATATTTTGAATTTGTTTTTTAATTTGATTTCAAATTTGATGCAATATCATTTTCAAATTCTATTTAGTTTTCGAGTTCGATTCACATTTGATTTGAATTTTGGACCAGGGGCGGACTGACCATTTGGAAACTCGGGCACTGCCCGAGGGCCCAGGGTCAGTAGGGGGCCCCATGAGATGCCCCTGGTACCCTTTTCATAGGCTTTTTTGAGCTTGGGCAAGGACACAGGGGCCCCATGAGTGGTCAGCCCGCCCCTGTTTTGGATATAATTTCCTTTCATTATTTTGGATTTATTTAAATTACTTACTATTGTAATTTGGAAATTCAGATACATCTGAATCTCTGAATAACAAAAATGTTGTCCAAATTTCGATTCAGAACAAGGCGAACTGCACATGTCTACTCCCCAATACCCAGAAGAACCACACTGTTAGAGCGGATCATGGGCTAGGAGGTGCCGTCACTTTGCTCTAAATGGGTAATTTGGCAATGTCTCTTTTAATAATGAATACATTTCTTGCTTTTTGGAATTAACAGAAGTGACTACTCCATATGTTGCTCACATTTTTTCTTTTAGTAAACCTTTTTCGTAAACTTTATTGTTATTTAAAGCTAAAGTAATCATTTGTGGCTAGTTTTTCTTTTTTTTTTTTTTTAAATCATTACTTGAATATTTCAAATGTATTTTTTCACAAATCAGCCTCCTTGATCCTACAAGAAAAGTCATTACTTATCAGTTGATGCCAGATTTCCTTTTAGAAAAAGTCAATTTCCGGACTGGATTAAACACTTTATTGTGCTCTCATAACTATATCCCTTTGGGAGCAGAGAAATATGCACTAAACAAACATAACATTAATGATGACATGCTTCTTATCATCTACTAAACTCAGTTCTTATATACACATTACAGGATCATGTATAATTTTCATAATATGTTATCATTAATAATAAATTCTGTATTGTTGCTTGTGGATAGTCCAGCTTATTATCTCCTTGTGTACAGTGCTATCTACCTACAGGATTGTATACATAGCAAAACATAAAATTGCTTTACATTTTTTAACTTGAGGACATCTGTGCAGTCGCCACAGTGAATGTAGTCTACTGTAGAATAAACGTTGAAGAAAAAAGCCACGGTATCATCTCCAGTAATTGATTCTTTATTACTTATATGGTAAAATCCAGTATAAGAAGAGGGTTAGGCTTTTTTGAATTTTAGTTGTACTTTTAGGTCTAACAGCAACCCCTGTGTGTGCACTGGTGTTTTCTGCCACCACTAACATTGGAAAGTTGAGTGCAGCTGGTTTTTTTGGTTTGATTTTTTGTTTTTGCTTCATTACTGTAGATTGGATCTTATTAAAAGAGTACAAAGTAAACTTTACTTTTTGCTGACTGTAAACTACTATAGCAATACTTGAAATACTGCAAATCATTTAAAAGTAACTGAGAGAAATGTTCTCCTGAAGGAGTGGATGGAGGATAATTAAAAATTGTATCAATCTTTCATGTCTAAAGATGAACATGACTATTATGTATTAAGAGTATTAAGAAATCAAACACACAGATGACAAAAAACTACAAAAAATCATAGATGCAAAAAAAAGAAGAAAAATAAAAATGTAAACTACCCTAAATACACCACACACAAAAATCACATCCTATAAAAGAAAAAAAATAATTTTTTTTTCAAGTTACTTTCACCTAAAAAGTTAAATTGAGAGTTTCCACTTCAGCAAAATTTCACATAAAAATCTGTAATTTTATGTTGAAATCATTTTTACAGAAATCATTCCACTCATTGCTCTCCCTGTGTGTAGAGGCTATTATGCTGTGTGGAACACACAGAAGTAGATTGCCTGAGATAAAATGTATTTTCTGCTACAGGCCCAAACAAAATTTCACCTAAAAAGTGAAATTGAGAGTTTCCACTTCAGCAAAATTTCACATAAAGATCTGTAATTTTATGTTGAAATCATTTTTACAGAAATCATTCCACTCATTGCTCTCCCTGTGTGTAGAGGCTATTATGCTGTGTGGAACACACATAAGTAGATTGCCTGAGATAAAATGTATTTTCTGCTACAGGCCCAAACAATAAAAAAATATTATTTGTTCTTACCAGCAATGCTTTCAAAAACAAACAGTGGAATGGCATATATAGCGTCACATATTTATTGGTGAATAGTGGAAGTATAAACAAGTTTCCTATTCATTATTTTAGTTATTTACACCTATTTTATGCAATATGTTGGAAACTCAGCAGACACAAACATTTATAGCAACGGGAAACACATTTCAAACATCTTTCGAAGACAAGCCAAATCCCTCTTGTTGGAGATTTTTTTTTTTAGCTTTTATTCAAATTACTTTTAAACTTTCTGCCATTGTGTATTTTTGGAACAATCCTTGTCACCCAGCTAGTGGTTTAAAAGATTAAAATATCAGATCCACTGGTCCATGGCAAAAACCTTATTTTTACTCAACTATTGTATTAAACTGAGTTTCAGCTCTACAGAATTCAGGGATTCAAGAAAAGCCAGTTACTGCAGAATTTCATTAAAAAGTATAATAGGAAATTGATTGAATATTTGGAAAGCAATTACACTCCTGTCATATTATGTAGCTATAAATGTTTTCTGGACTCTGCTGTAAGTTGTATACACATGCCGAAATGTTCTTGCTAAAATAGTGTTTCATTCTCATCAATACAAGCTGTATTTTGCATTATGATTCCCTTGTAACAGTAGAAATACCTTTGACTGTTTATTGTAACAGCATTACAAAATAATAAACAGTACATATATCAGGGCTTGGAGGGCTAGGACCTTGGCAGTAGGTAGGTAAGCAGTGAGGTCTTTGCTAAATAATTGCCAGTTGTACCAAATCCTAAATAGTTCTAAATCTAAATAGTCCCAGGATACATCACAGCCCTATGCTTTGTGTATATATTGTGGGTGGTGGAGTTCTACTTCAAACTTTTGATTCATCTTGCATGCAATAGATTTATTACTTCTGGGTTTTTTAGAGCGTACCACTTTGGATTTATGGTTTACCTCAGTGATGGACTATAAATAATTAATTACACATAATTAGGTGACACTAAAGATTTTTTTTTTTTTTTAATTAACAAACATGTCTATACTTACCTACTCTGTGCAGTGATTTTGCACAGATCAGCCCCGATCTTCTTCTTTTCAGTTCCCTTCTGGTGCTCATGGCTCCTCCTCCTCAAGCAGTGCCCCCAGTGCAAGCCACTGGCCATGGGGGGCACCTCTGTGTGCTCATCCCCAAGCTGCTGCTCTATGTGTCCATAAGACACATAGAGCCAAGACTCGGCCCCACCCCTCTCTTGCTCCTCATTGGCTCACTGGCTGTGATTGACAGCAGTAGGAGCCCCTGCTGTCAGAATACAGCTTCCATGCAGGGAGGATTCCTGTATCCATCTCAATTGTGAGGATAGAGGAGTCTGTTTGGGTTTTTTTTGTTCAGTCCGCTGGCTGAATGCAAAAAAAAAAAAAAATCATCCATCGAGTCAAATTCAGCTCTGCAGGTTTTTTCAGCTATATATGTCAATTAATACATACAGTACACATAGGAAACTTGGGGGACATCAGAATTACAAAGAATCCCATTTACATCTAAGGAAGGACTAAGCTTATTGCTTTTGCAATGTGGAATTCATAATATAGGTGTTTTTGCAGAAGTATTTTATTCTGACTGATGTTTCCAAATGAATATAAATATGAGTTTGTATACTGAAGGGAAAAGCATTTGGGTGATTGTATAATTGTTGCAGTTTGTACAGCTGGCTCTGCAGCGTGAGACTAACAGCTAGAAGCTAGAAGAGGCAGCCTGCAGCTCAGCATCTGTGTAAACAATCAGTAGCAAAGATCCAGATAAAACCTCAGCAATAGAAACATATACCATGATCTCGGTTTACTGCAAATACTGGTTCCACTCAATTTTGTCAACACTGAGACATTCAAAACCTATGCTCTAAGTACACATATGGTGGAAGGGTACTATGACTGTATGAAGTACCGGTACTTTTCAACAGTTGAGATGTGCATGGATGTATGAAAATATGGTATCTAGTACACAGTATCTTGCTGGCTGGAGCTTGCAGCAAGATCCTGCATAAAAAGTGCTCTAGATCAGTGGTTTCCAAACTGCTTGCTTTTATCCGGCCCTTGAGACACAATTTCATCCACTGGTACCAACAATGAGACATAATCCCCCCACTGACACCAATAAAGGGGCACAATTTGACCCAATGACACCAATGATTGTGCCAAATAACACCAATGATGAGGCACAATTCATCCCAATGACACCGATGATTGGGTACAATTCCTCGCAATGACACCAACAATGAGTCACTTTTTCTCCCAATGACATCAATGATGGGGCACAATTTTTCCAAATGACACCAACAAAAGTTCACAATTCCCCCCAATGATACCTATGATGGGCTTCATTTCCTCCCACTAACACCAACATCTACTCCTACTGACGTCTGGACCTTTTCTACTCTCAATAGCCAAAGTCTGGCCCTACTAAAGTCTCAAGGACAGTAAACTGGCCCTTTGTTTAGAAAGTATAGAGACCCCCTGCTGTAGGTGCTCACCTTTATGTTTGTGAGCTGACTCAGGGCTTTCTCTGCTCTGCCTGCTGCTATGTGAAAAGGCTGAGTGCTGACAGAACACTAAAAGGTACAGGTGTTGCTTATTTGTTTTACCAGACAAGAGCTCTAAGCTCAGGAGGAAAAAATTGTGTTTTCTTCATAAGAAACAAACATCCTGAAGCCCCTCACCCTGTGTTGGTGAGTAACCTAGGTGACACAGCCACCTTCAACAACCCTGCCAGGCAGTCACACTGCCAACCTGCTTACAGATTCCTTGCATTCCAAACTGCATTCAGACTGTTTTTTCCTACTGTGATACCCACCCACACCCATGTCTCCAATTTTCTCTCTTTTGTAGAGCTTTTAAAGTCGCTGCCATGGTGATTTAATGCACGCAGACATAGTTACAGTAGGAAAGATATAAAAGGGCCATTATTTGGAGACTAAAGCAGTTGCACTGGGAGTAAGGTGGAGACTACAGGTGGTGTTTGGGTCAGTGACCTGTGAAGAGTTATATAATACTAAAGAGACTGGCTCTTGTCTGTTGTTTTTTTTCTTTTTCT